ATTTGGGAATGCCGCAGCCATTGTAGATCGTTCGTACCACAGAGCGGAAATCACGGAAGATTATTATCGATATCCGTCGGATCTGACAGGACATAGAGCAGAGTCGTAGCAAAGTTTAGGTTATACGAACTTGCTTCCAAGGCAAATAAGCAAAAGGCAATACGTAGAGCAGTAATGGAGAGAGAATAGTTGGAATGCATTACAATACTCAGTATAGAGTCAGTCTGTTTGGTGTTTACGACATTGACTAATATTTTTTTTCACTAACCATCTTTGTCATAAACTTTCTTCCATCAAGTTTCCAGACAGTATCGTGACGTTGCAAGCTCACCTATACCTCTGAACCTCATCAAACTGTAAAGAAAGCTTTCAATCTCGACTACATGGGTGGAGAAATAAATCACAGTCTGGAGCACTTCATTCTCCATGTTACCACAGTTTATGACACATGGAAAAGCTTTCGTAATCATTATTATTCACCATACTTCGCGGTTTTTCAATCGAGCGGTACCGGCAAATCTAAACTTTTTAACAGTTTGATTGAGTCGCACTGGGTCTGTTATATTAGCCTAGCAAACGGTAAAGCATATCCGCAGACGCCTGAACTGAAACAAAGTTTCTTGTCGACTTCGACCAAACGGCAGGATTTGGCATACTACTTCTTTTATATTTGTGCTGTTATACAATCATGGAACCAAGAACGGAAAAGAAATCCCAATGGTCATCGAGCATGGTCAAAAAAATGGTTTGATGATGAAACGGACATTGTCAATGTAGCAGTTATGAAACAGTACAAAGACAAATATGGAGAACTCAACTCAGAAAAAGATTTCGAAACGCATGTCAGAGGTCTGTTAACAACAGTAGATGAGACACAGTTTCCCTTACTTATCGTCTTCGACGAAGCCCGTGCAATGATTGCGACAGGCGACTTTGAGGCTGTTCGGCGAGCCCTCCGCTGCTTTACAAAGGGTGTCATGGCAGTATTTGCTGACACCATGTCGAGTTTGTGTAATTTTTCTCCATTGGCAGAAGCGGATCCATCTTTCCGTCCTCGCACACACATGGAACTTTTTCCTCCCTTTTATCAGCTGTGCACCTTTGATTTATTCGCCCGCCAGAAAAACTACCTGGATTGTAAAATATGGGAATATGGAAGGGTCATGTGGGCGGCTTTCAGGTCATGTGGTATGACTGATGGCGATCTTATTACTTTTGCTCAATCGAAATTACTTGGCGGCTACGAACAGGTGGAAACACTCCTAACGATAACACCACAAATGGCAGTAGCCATACTTTCATCGTTTGCAAGCATTGAAATCACACCCTCTTCTTCCTTGGCAAAGCAAGTTGTTGCTGATAACATGGCGATCTGTCTTCATGTATCTCATGACCGATCTAGTATAATGGCACGATACCCGTCGGATCCTGTTCTGGCTGAAGCAGCAGCAAAATTGGTGCAAGATACATTCAATCACGAAAAGCGTATGCAAATGCTAAGATTATTGGCGAGTAGCCTTACTAATGGTTTAGTAGAACGAGGGAAGAGGGGTGAGCTGATTGGTTCGTTGATAATTGGATTGGCGATGCAAAGATGCCAAAAGTCTCGCTTTCAGAAAAGGATGTCTTTTCGATATTCTCAGGCAGTTTCTTTAAAGGCTTTTTTGAATGTGTTTATTGATATTGATGAGGAAAGTTCAGATACCAGGCTCGAAGATGTCTACGTAAAGTTTTCCCATGCATGGAAAATCAGTGGAGGGTCAAACCAGCAGCTATCCAAGACGTTATTAAAAGCTGGATGGGATCGATGTTGTTACTTTCTATGTGAAGAAAACCAGGAAGCTGTTGATGTCGTCATTCCGACATCACGTGATGCTAACCGTTACAAGGTAAGCAATGTTGTGTTTAATCAATCTATTATGGTGGTAGCCGTGTTAACAGAAAAATCTTATTCAGGATGGTCCGCCTTTGCTTATCCAAATCAAAAATCGATCTGGGAGAGGTGCAATCAGAGATGCATTTTTAAAACTTGGTTCCGCAAAACTCGATGCAATCAAGCCCAATTCAGGTGATGTGATGTTTGTAGGATTATTGCTTTCATTTGGAGCAAAAATGGCCAAGTCAGAAAGGTACGTCCACTCATTTGAATTGGTTATAAACCTATAACCTTCTAATTTTCATTGGATAGGATTTCTTTTAACACGGGATCGAAAAAGAGGAAAGTTGGACAAATGTGAGTTTTCTCCCATTATTGCTGTTAAAAGACAACTTTTTGTTCCTGCTAATTATAATGCTTGAAATTTTCAAGGTATTCTGTCGATGAGGAAGATTTCGAATCTCTGCGCTATGGCATCGTCTACGGTGTATATGGAAGCCGATGTTTTCAGAATCTATTTGAGATTGTTAAAGAGAACGATGAGATAGCAGCAGCTATCAGTGAGATCTTAGATGCATTTCCCGACCCAATGAAGAAAGAACTTCCATCTCTGCTGCAAGACGACGGATGCTATTGCACTTACAACAATGAGTTTCTTATCACAACTACCATGATCCAAAACCTGGCTGAGAAGGAATAAGAGGATTCTGATGGAATTTTTAGTCTTATGTGAAGGAATGGTGTTAGGTTTTCAAACCGTTTTATAACGGTGAGCACGCGAAATAGACTGATATCGATATAATAGCAATGTGTTTCTCTTGTAATCAATTAGTCTATACTGGGCTAAAAAAGAAGAATATAGGACATTATAACCATATAGGAATGGAGAAACATTGGACATTTTCATGTACTGGTAATAAATACTGTGGTGTAAATTATGAAGAGTATTTGAAAATTAAACAAAAATCTAATTCCGGATATAATTATGACAATAAGTATGCATTACATCATTATGAGTTATGAGAATGCAATGCAATCAGAAGACTTAAACGTGACAAGGGAAATTGGTAAAAAGATCAAGCGTGTATAAAGATACAAAGAAAAATTGTGGGGTGGATTTACCGCCCTGATGGATTGATGGATTCAATGCTCATAACTATGCATGTTTACAAAATATTAGAGCAGAAATGCGTCAGATGAGACAGAGCTCGAAGCTCCGCTTCTTAGTAACCATAACTGTTTAGTGTAAAATCTTATTTGCTCTGCCCGCCGTACGGCACCCAAAGGGCAGCTTACGTCGCCTCTATGTATCCAATGGTGTGTCCCAACCCTAACGAATATAGAGCGGATCTTCTTTCGCTCTAGTCAAGTCAATCACAATGAACTGCCGACCTTGCAAATTCTTATCGATTATATCAACGGCATTACGCCATTTTTTGTATACCGCCTAACTATATCAACCAATTCATTATATATACCCGCTCCGTTAAAGAGCACAATATAATCTAAACTGTTTCTTATTAATTTCGGACAGTAAAGTAAGGGATAATTTTTTCTTGCACCTTTTTAGGCTCACTACATAAATCTTCGAGTATAACCAACGTTCCTCTTTGGAGTAAATTCGCCAATCTTGTCGGGCTTTATCGATCGGAACGTAACATTTTCGTGATACAGCTTTGGACTATTCGCAATGTAATACGAACCTCGAATCTTGTATAGGTTGACGGGATATTTATTTAATTGTCTATAAACGCGTTAGTATAGAAAACCTTCCCAAACGATAGATTTCCGAAATTCATCATAATCGTCGATAATTACTCGAGGTTAAATAGATATCAATGGATTAGCGTATACGATACGATACGTTCGTAAGTATTCAAAGCCTGTTAAAAAGTCACTAACTGTTTAGAAGAATTAGCATCAGTAGGCGTTGCCGATAGCAGCCGTTGGAAGACGCTAAATCTCAAGGTTACACGATCGCTCTCCCACGTGTAACTTTACGACACACGCAACTAGTAAGTCTGCATTATAATCCTGCCAACCCATGGCATCTTCATTTGTAATTCGCTCATTTTCCATTGATTTGTACTAAATCACTGCTCAGTTTTGCTATCTCATTTTGAGACTGGTTGTACGTATTTGTGAGATTTGTTAATGCACGCTCAATTGTAACTCTATCATTCCGAGGAATGTACGTTAAAAATTCTCTAACCATTTGATAGAAATAATTTATATTATATACACCGACAAGGTTATCCATTCTTGGCGTTGGAGGAGGAGTGGCCATTTCTATTTGATTAGGCAATATTTTTCTGAGTGAGATAATTCTTCGATTCTTTTTTTAAGTCTGGAAATACTTTCTTCATATAAGTAATTTGATTGTTTTTGGTGTCAATAACGGTTACGTTTGCTTTAATTTTTTGAGAGCTGATCTCAATCGTTTTCGTAAATTTGATATTTGGATTTTTGAATCATCGATTTTATTCCCTTTTGATCAGTATTGTAATACTCTGGCGAAATAACTTTCCCTCGCATTTTTCCAATTCTCGCATAAGCGTACGAATTTTCTTTCATTTGTACGATTTATGTCTACCTCACGATTTAACTCCTCCCGTAATTCGATATTCGATTGTGCAAGTTGCGATGGTACCACTTACGAATGCCGGATTCGGCAAATTGTCTTCCATTATTATAGTTGATCAAAAAATGGCAAGTAACGTTTCCATTACTTCCATTGATCCCAAAATAGCACGTAGACTTGACACTGCTATTGAGCTTAGGAAATTGTATTATAGGCCTCAGGGTTATTATCGTACTGCAGAAAAATTGCGTGATGCGTGCAGAAAAGCCGGAATAACTTTTCATTGGCTGATGTGAGAGAATGTTTAGATAAACAAGCGCTACATCAAATACATAAACCCCGCCCAAAATTTATTCAGTATGCATCTTTTAATGGAATTCAAAGAAATGCATCAATCCGATCTTACTCCTATGCCTCATGATAAAATCGGAAATCGAGTTTTTAAACATATACTTGTAATAAAAGATGTTGCTAGTAGATATCGAAAAAACTGCGCATTAACTAATAAATCAGCTTCTACTATTGCAAAAGCGATTAAAAAAATTTATGTAGATTCTAATAATCCTCTTTCTTGGCCTAATGTTTTTAGAACTGATAAAGGTACTGAGCATTTAGCTGAGTGTAAAAATTTATTATTAAAACACGGTGTATATTTGATCCTAAAAAATCCAAAAAGGTAATGCTATATAGCAGAGCGTGATCATCAAGACATGCTTTTATTCGCCAAGATGCTGTAGATTTTCATTTACCATTACTAAGAGGTGTAGGAATTGGGTTAAAGGTCTTCAGACAAATGATAATATATTTAATAATACTCCAACCCGTTTAATTGGTATGTCTCCCAATGAAGCAGTAAAACTTGCATTGCAAGGTAAAATTATGGCAGAACCTGCTGTTAAGCATAGAAGACTAATTGGGTATGATGAAATCCGTTTAACTCACAATGATTCAGTTAGATATTTACTTGATGCTGGTGAATTAAAAGGCGGTAGACGTCGCGTAACTGATTCTAATTGGTCTTCGAAAATTTACCATATCAAAGAATCGCTGATACAAAAAAATCAGCCCGTTTTATACTGGCTGCAAGATGTTGATGGGAATAATCGTTTGTGTGTGAAGAATTGATGATTGTTCCGCATGATACTGAATTGCCGCCCAATTAAGTGCTCAAGGATTAATCCAGAAATCAAGCTCTTCTTCGACTTGTTCTTTTGTTATAAATGTATCCTTAACAATATCGTAACATAAATTGTAATATTTTTCAATAGACTGTCGAATTTTTAACTCGTTTTCATAGTAGGTATTATGCTTTTCCATTGTTTGTTTATATACGTCTTGATTCGGAAATTTTACTAAAGCCTTTTCGTATATGTGCAGTTCTAAATCATCAGCTGGCGTAGCTCATCTAACTGCTTTTTATACCAACTCATAAAACCTTTATCTTCGGCTTTCTATAATATTCCAGCTCTTAAAATGTCGATTATGGCTTTTTCGATGTCTTTCTATGTTGGTTTAGAATTTTTAGCAGTGTTTGAAATATTTTTGTCAAAACTCATTTTGAATATTTAATATAATTTGTTTATGTAATAATATATTACGTTATAAATTCTTTTGTTTAAATAATTATTTTTACACATCAAAATGATTATAAATGGTGAATACACTTGTCCGTTGTTTCATAATTCTGGTAAAGTCTGTGGTAAAAGCTGTATGCGGCCTGAAGGTTGCCATGTTCATTGGAAGGCCAAAAGGCATTTTCCTTGTAGTAAATGTGGCAAGCCTACTGGTTCTATTCTGGCCGATGTCTTTTACATATCAGGGAGTATTATGTGTCCCAGTACTATCACAGGTTGCGCCTTAAAGCCTTTGCAAATTGGAATTTTTGTTAGCTGAATAAAGTTAATATCCTAGCACAATTTTTTATTAGATTTATAATTTTTTAACGTTTTAGCTGCTAATTCAGTGAAAAATTTTTATTAGACTTATTATTATTTTATCTATTTAGCATCTAATTCGGTAATAATAAAAAAAAAGTGTGCCAAAAACCCTATTCTATCTCTACTTATATATTATACTGGGTGTCACCGGTTTTCTTCGCGAGGCGGCTGCGTCCCCTCACCGTGACAATAGGGCTCTGTAGTGTCGATGCTTAGTG